GGATCTCCAGCGCGCACTCCTCCCGCGGCGCCGGCGACACCAGCAGCAGGTCGGCGGCGGCGCGCACCGCGCTCTCTGCCCGGGAGCAGGAGGGACTCAGGCGGGGGACGCTCCCGGCCCGCGAGGAGCAAAACCGAGGGGCCGAGGAGGGCCGGCTCCTTGCGTTAACGTGAAGCGGGGAGAGCGGGGGCTTGCGAAACGCTTGTTAAAATCGGGCGTATCGGTACGCGGGTCAAAACGGAGGTAAATTTAGGACGAGAGGAAACGGCCTCAAGTTGCGCCAGGGGAGGTTTAGATTGGATGTAAGGAAAAATTTCTTTACTGAAAGAGTGGTGAAACATTGGAAGAGGCTGCCCAGGGAAGTGGTGGAGTCCCCATCCCTGGAGGTATTTAAAAGACGTGTAGATGCAGCACTTAGGGACATGGTTTAGTGGGCATGGTGGTGTGGGGTCGACAGTTGGACTCGATGATCTTAGAGGTCTTTTCCAACCTCTATGATTATGAAATTCGTGAGGCTAAATTCCTCTCCGCTGCCCTGACCGTGCGCGTGCGTTCCCGTACCTTGTTGCATCAGTACAGGTGGCTGGCACGCCCATTTGTACTAATCGAATGTTAGGCTGTGCCAGCCCGTGTGCGGCAGCTGGTTTTATGTAGCGGGGGGAAAGAAATTAGTTCTGAGGCTGTGGGTTTTTTTTTTTTTTGGTGGAAGAGGTAGGACCCCCCAGAGACCGGAGTGTCTTGCATGCACTCGTGCTACAGCAGGGCTGGAGGAAAAGCAGCAGCAGAGGTGAAAGGGGAGAGTCGGTGGCAGAGGGACGCGAAGGGCAGGATAAGAAGCTGAGAAGGTGATGCTCGGCTCCTGATCAGCCGGATCAAACAGCACTGATCTTACCCGTATCAATGAAGCCAAGGATGCAGAGCGTGATGGAAACGTTAACGCTCTGAATGCTGAATTCCTGCCTCAGGGAGCTGAAAAATCCATCCAAGGCAAACTTAGTTGCAGAGTAGGGGACCGTAAAGGGAAACCCGACTTTACCTGGACACAGAGTGAAGTTCTGTTATAGCACGGAAAGCTGCTCTGCCCGAACCTGTGTTTTGCCCTTCATCAGATAAAGTATTTTACCCAAAGGGAGTTTACTGCTAGTGAAACGTCATCCTGGCACCTGAACAGCAGCATTACAAGTATTCCTGTCAGCTTCCAGCTCTTTCAAGGTCTTAAGGCCAACACCATGTCTTTTGTCTCTGCTCAGGGTACGAGCAGCCAGCAGTAACCAGGAAACCGTCGGAGGGGAGAGGTGGAGCAAAGTTTAAACTCTTGTCTCTGGATACTGAGCTAAGCTGATTGCCAGAAGACTAACTAACATACCGGCTGTGAGTGGGCACATCTGTTAGTAATTTAGTTTTCTGACTTAACAGAAATTTATTAGAAGAGAGTCATGTTTTTGTGAATAGAGTCAGTCAATAACTCGCTCTACAAATATTAGCAGGAACTTGACCTACCAAACCAAGATGAACAGTCAGAGATCCAACGCAGTGAGAAATTACTGCGTTTCCACTTTTCTCCATAAAACTGGAGGTATGAGCTCTGCTGCTCTAATGAGCCTGACACTAGGGTGTGGGGTTTAATTACAGGGCTGGTCAAAAAGCAAGCTGGGGCGATTGGCTTGCATCAGAGAACAAATTCCATCAAGAAAATATAAAAAAGATCTAGATTTGGGTTTTTTGGTGGGGTTTTTTTTGCACATTAAGCAGTTACGGCTCCTTTATGATGCCTGGTGTCTCTGCATGCTGCTTGCTTCTGAAAATCGGCCCACGGTGTCTTTCGACTGAATCCCATGTCACCTACCTCGCTCCCCACTCACCTGCCATGGATGAAACCACTACGATGCTGCCCTCGCTCTCCTTCAGCATGGGCAGGGCAGACGTGGTCATCGCCACGTAGCTGAGGAAGTTGATCTCCAGGAGCTTTCGTACGTGCCCAACGTCCCCATTGAAATAACCAAAGTACGATGTGCCGACGTGATTAAGAATCAGCATGTCTAGGCCTCCTGCAAGCAGAGGAGCAGACGTTAGTGCTGGGTGGGAGAGGGCTACAACCAGCAGAGCAGAGCCTTTCCTGGGAGCAGGATAACTGTCATCAAAAGAAATCAGGTTTTTGGGTCAGAGCTATGGTCTGTCATCTCTGGAGTAGAGATATAGTCTGGATGGTGGCTGCCAGTAAAAGTTTTGTTGTGATTTTTTTTTTTTTTTTCCCCCCTGCCCTGGTTCAAAACACAAATACCATGGCACAAAGGGGATCACCCTTGAGTTGTCTGTGGGCCTGGGGCAGGAGAGGGTGTGCTCCACGTGGAGCTCAAACATTGCATTTCCACAGCCGTGACTCGTGACTGCAATACCAAGGCTGCTACGGGCCTAACGGACGGTTTCAGACCACAGTAGCTGGGGGTGATGAAATCCAGGATTATGATACTGGAACAGGATATCATGAGGGCACAGAGCTGAAATCGAGAGTGCAGTTCAGTTTGAGCTGGAGCGATGAAGCCGGGCAGAGGAACAAGACTGCAAAGGGCATAATTAGGGAAAAATCTCTCCTGTCTCACCCCATCTCCATCTCTCCTGCTTTTTTTAGTGGGCGTGTGGCAAAAAGTGGCATGGCCAAGGAGAGACAGAATGTTCTGCTGTCATTTGCAGAGAGCAGGCTGCAAACGTACCCAGCAAGGTCTCTGCCTTCTTCACCACGTGCTCAGCGAAGGCCATGTCCTCCATGGTGCCGCTGATGTACCATGCGGAGGCTGCCCCCAGCTCCAGGCACCGCTCCACCACCTGCCGCACCAACATGACGCGTCAGAAATCCCTTTCCCTGCCCTGGGAAGCCTGGTGTGGTAGCAAAAGAGGGTGTCTGTGCTCCCTGTGGTGTGTCCCCGCCTTAAAACAGCAGTTTGGAGTTTCGGGAGTAGGTTTGGAGCCTTTTAAGCTTCAAAGGGAGCCTGAAAAATTATTCCTTTGGTGAATGCATTACCCAAGGCAGTCTGGCTCTTTATCGGTGCAGTCTGTGCTGGAATTTCATGCGTATAGGGTGAGCAGGAGCTTGTATATCACTGCAGTGGAATGAGGGTGTGTGTGCTGAGGGAACCTGTGTGTATGGGGATATGTGTACATAACTAAGCAAGTTCAAATATCATATGTGCTTGCTATGCAGAGTGCATGTATCTGCATGAGAGGTATTTCTGTGCATGCAGGAGACCCAGACAGTGCAGGTATGCATACCTGTGAATGTCACTGCGCCTATCTGGTATTTGTGCCATGGCAATTACGTGTGCATATATTCATGCATGTACCTGTGATGTGAGATTGGCCTTCATATGTTTGTGTGTGCACCGCCATGAACATGCATGTGTGAGTGCTCAGCTTGCCATTTACTTTCTGTAGCTTGGCCTCTGTCCGTGCTGTGATCAAAATGTGGGATCCCATCCGTGCCAGGTGATACGCCATCTGCTCACCAATTCCAGTGCTTGCTCCAGTGACAATCACCCGCTTCCCTTTCAGCATCTCTGGGGACCAAGGCACAGGGATTTAATTTATCCAAACCCTATTTAAGAATAAAATAAAATCCCCTCATGCCCCTGAGAGTAAGTAGTTAATTGGAAGCTAAGTGAGCCTGCAAGTGCAGAGCATCCGGCACCAGGATGTCTCGTCCGTCTGCTGGAAAAAGCTGGGCTGAGAAGCAGCTGCAGCTCCTCACTGAATGCAGTGACACGGGGACAGCGCTCGACTTCCAGCAGTCTTTTCCACAAGTCAGGACACAACTTATAAACACCCCAACTATTTTGTAATAAAAATCATCCACTAAGTGCATGCTTCAAAACTTAAAATCCAACATTTAAAAGTCATGTTTATAAATTCTTTTGCTACACACTGGAAAATGGAGTGTTCAGAGCCCTCTCCCTCTCAGACCCCCTGCCTCACCTGCTCCCTCAGGAACTATTTCTGCATATTACTTGCTCGTTTGACTTCAAATCTTTGTTAAAACAACTTTCCAGTATCAGCCACCACACAAAGGCTCAGACATGGTTTGGTCCAAGCTCTGTACAGTTTCTATGCAAAACACTCAAATGTGGCGTTTAATATTTTTCCTTAAAGACAGATTCACTTTTAATACTTACCCGGTTTGAAATTCTCCCTCGCAGAATAAAACCAGAAGGCCAAAACCAATCCCAAAAAGGGAATGAGAATCTTTTGCAACCAACCCATCCCACTGTGGAGTCAGGAAATAAAGCATGAAAGAGAAGGGAGGGGAAAAAAAAAAAAACCAACCCTCTGCAGAGCTGCTCCAGAGGGAAGCAGCAATGCCAATCCTTGAAAACCTGTTAGTGAAGGAACTGCAACCTCCAAAGCACTGGAAAATCACGGGTGGATGGGTAAGTGAAGCAAACCCTCCGATTTGCTCCCTGCTGGGGCTGGTGAACCTCGGCCTAACCGGCAGTGCTGTTTGGGTTCTGCCTGGCTCTTTTCATATTTCCTGTCCTACGTTAAAATGCAGAATTTTGCACAACACCCTGGAAGAGGTGTGTCTTTGCTGAGCAGCATCAAGTTTCACTTCAAGAACATCAGAGGCAGCCTAGTGCAGGTGGTTAAACATCGTCTTTTATTCCCATTGGCACAGTAAGCGGGTGCGTGCGGAGATGCAGCCCAGGTCTGATCGCTGCTAAAAGCCTCGTGGTGGGTGAGGCACTGGGGGAGCAACCGGGGGCCGCTGTGCTGCAGGGGGACATGCAGCAGGACATGCAGCAAAGGCCCCGTGCTCCCCAGGGGTATCTCTGCTCTGCGCCCTGAGGCAGCTGCCTGCCACCCGGATGCTGGGCAGTAGGGGCCCAGCAGCGTGTACCGCCCCCAAACAGCTCCAAAAATGCTTTGCTGAGGCAGGGTTTATTTTTTCACCTCTACCTACTCTTGTGAGCAGATGAGGGAGCAGGGGCTGAGCTGAACCCATCACTGGGGGTGCAACCGCCCTAGCGCCAAGGAGCTGTTCAGGCACAGGGAGGTTTGCAATGAAATACTGAATATTGATTTCTGCAGAGAAATAAGGGTCCTTGATGCCGTGGTTCTTGCTTCGAGTTTTGCAAGAGCTTTGTTCTTCTTTTTAAATGAATATAGTCTGAGGAAAAAACACATAATGTCTGCTAGCTCCCTGAGTCTAGGCAGCAGCAAATTCAATGCCGTCGATCTCGTGCAATAGGTAAACTACGCTCCAGCTTTGGTCTGGCGCTGGGATCTTCATCGCAGAGTACCAGTACCTGCCGTTGGTACGTGGGATGGGGGCATGCTGCAGGAGCTTCGTGTCCTGGAGCTGCCTCGCTAGAGCCTCCGCTTTCTCAGTGGGGAAAGCCGTGTTTGCTGGGACGAGAGCCTCATCTGCAGTGCAGGGGCTGCACCACGGTCTGATTTACATGGGCATAATGCTGTGGTTGTCCCTCTCAGACCCTTCCACCATAACCAGCCAGGAAGAATTATTTAAAGAAAACTTTGTTTCCCCCTATTGCAGCTTTAAAATAAAGATTATTTAACTCAGTGACATATCTGGTTGGGCAGTGGAGCTCTCTGGCATTGATTCAGCTTTATAGATATCCCCCCCCCCTTTCTACTTCAGTCTCAACTTTCCCTCTGATAAGAAGCACTCAACCCACACTTGGTCAGATAACACCAGTACAGTAGCTCTGCCTTTTCCTGCCTCCCTTTGCATTGAACTTGGGTCACGATCATGGGGCCACTTCATTCCTTGGCTTGAAAAAAATGAACGAATTAACCTTACCTCAGCTGGATCTTGTCTGTGTTGCTGGCAGGGAGAGAGGCTCTTTTCAGATATTGTTGTTTATTACTAGCATTAGGATACTGCAGTAAAGCAATAACTGTCAACCTTTGTGCACCGTCCGCGTGCTCTTTGTTCTGCATCGGTGCGGGGAGACAGGGCCAGAGGCAGCCCGGTGGGTACAGAGCCAGATGCTGCACTTGCCTTGCTGGTGTGTTGTTTAATGAGAATTGCAAGTTTGCTTTGGGTTTTTGTGTGAAACAAAGTAGCTGATAATAAAGGACTGAAATACTGAATATTTTGGACATAAACTTTTTAGAAAAGAAAATTTGTGTGTGTGTGTCCTGTGTTGAAATGAAGCGTGCCGGGTGGTTGCTGGTGTGGTCCTTGGGAGAGCTGGGGCTGCGGCGGCAGCAGGAGCTGCCGGATCTGGCCGCGCTTCACTGCCCACGTGGGTTTGCTCTTGGCCATCTGTCACCCTTCCAGGGTGCTGCTGCTCCTCACTCCCACTCGCAGCTTTTTCTGGGTTTGTTTTGCTGTATGCAACTTAAGAACTTGTTTTAACCTTTTCTTGGAGGTGGGGAGCGAGGGAAGGGAGAGGAGGGTGGGAAGAGGTGACTGCAGAGAAATGTTTTCTGATGTTAGCCCACGAGGCCGGTCCTGGCCCCGCTGCTGCCGAACCTTTGCACCTTGGCAGAGGGGAGCCCGGTGGCGTGCCTGGCCCGGTGAGATGGAGCCCCAGAAGCACAGGGGAGCAGCCTCTTGCTTCTGAAACGGCTTCACCCGAATTTTCCTGGATGTATCCCCCTGCTGCACATCACTTCTGTATCACTCGTCCGTTTGAAGCAGTGTTTTTCAAGGGGTGATGCTTGGTGTTGTGCTAACCGCTCTGTGCAGGGGAGGTTCTTCATTTCGTGCTGCCTGGACCTCACTGGAAGGAAACGAAGATGTGAAGGAAACTTGTTCTGACAACAAACTGGCAGAGCAGCAGAGGCAAGCTGCTGGAGAGCCCCGGCCGTGCCCACAGCCCGGCGCTGCCTGGAGGGAGTGCATTCCAGGGGCAGGGCTGGGCCTCCAGCGGGTTTGTGCATGCAGCTCAGGGACTCAAAAGCGCTTGGCAGGAACTGGGATACCAGTTCTTCTTCATTTTTTTTTTTCTTTCCTGTTTTGAGTGATATTTGGCTTTTTTCAACCCATTATCCAATCTTTGTTAAATGCAGAGGATTTTCCTTCCCCCTCCGCCTTCCTTTGTTTTGTAGACATTAAAACATTGTTTCTCATACCCAGCTCTCCCAGCATACTTTACCGCAAGCACAGATTTAATTCCTTTCTTTACACATATCACCGATATAAAGGGCTGCTCTCAGTTATATTTGCGTTAGGCTGACGTGCGTGTCAACATGATGCTATTAGGCTGTGACAGATGCGTGTGCTTTTCGGCACGGCTACACAGCGCCTCACCATGGCTCCCGGGCACGGCCCCTGGGCAGTGCCGACATCCTGCGAACGCTATCGCTGTCACGGCTGCACCGCTCCTGAAAAATGCACACTCAGGTCCCAAGGGAGACTTGAGATGACTGTAAGACTGGGTTTAGTTTGACATGATATTTCTACTCGCTGCCGGTTTAGAGAAAATACTGTGATGTTTAAGCCATGTCTAAGCACTAAATTTATTTTTTTTCTTGTGTGACCAAATCAGGAATTGCTGCCTTGATTATTTGGTTGTTCGTACTGTGGCTGCTTTAAGTTTTGGCTGCTGCCCGTGTTCCCAATGCCCTTGGTGTTGGGTGGCAGAGGCTGATACGCTTATCTGGGCTCTTAATTTTAGCCTGGCAGCTCTTGAAACATCCAGAGTCCAAACTGCAAATAGCGAGTAAGGACTCTCAAACATTTGGCTCATGCCCTTGAAGCGATTGGCCTGTGAGGGAGGGCTGCTGGGTTTTAGGTGGCCTTCAACTCCGTATGATGAAAGCCTGGACAGCGGCTCCAAGCTGAAATAAGATCTTTGAAGAGGTGTTGCAAGATGGGTACAGACAAATACTGACTGGATCTCATGTCAGCTGCAATTTTCCTGAGGATTTAATGCACCAGGAAAATGTCACGTTTACAGGTTAAAGTAAACTGGGTTCAGACAAGTCTTAAAAGAAAGAGAATAACAGAAATCAATCTCATGTGACGCTCGGCAATCTAACTCACACCTTGGGCAACATGTAGCTCTCTTCAGGAGCTTATCCCTCAGGACTTTGGTTTAACTCAGTCTTAAATGCTCCATATGCTTCTACACTGTAGCTCGCCTGAGGTGTCCTTACTAGTACTGACTGTACATCTTATTCCATCTGTTTGCTCTCTGGTATATCCCAGCATGTATAATTAAAATTTCTCTTTGCAATTCACACACGGGCTTTCAGAATGACTCCACCATGCTCCGTTGACAGCGTGTGTGGATGCTGTTTGCTGGTTGCGTGGGGTTGTATTTGTGGCAGTTGTATTGGCCAGGACTTTCTGCAGTTTGTCCGGTGTTGAAATAGAGACTGGGGGGGGGGGGGGGGGGCCCGGAGAGGGGGGCCAGGGGAAAGGGGGGGT